TTTTACAGGATGATGAACTACTGATTCTCTGACCCACTCATGGAAGCCTGCCCCCTTACTGTTGAAGGCCCTCCACACACTCTAGCAGTATGGAGCTGGGCTGCAGTGAGCTCCCCTCCAGGGCACAGCCCCCAAACACAAGGCAGAGCACAGCCCTCACCTCACTGGGATTACACACTGAGCTCAGCCCTCAGCAATGGAGGACACAGAGCCTTTGTTATTAGTGCTGGACACAGACTGTAACACATTACTGTAGGTGGGTTCCAACCTGACTGTGTGAATAACAAAAAGACACCAGAGATGTATTTGAAAAAAGCCTCAGCACTCTAATGGGATGCCAGCACCACTCAGAGGGGCAAGACCAGGATCCCTCCCTGCTTCTGGCTGTGCTTTCCCCTTGGAGACTTGTTATCACTAGTGTCCAGACGGTAAAAGGCGAGGGGCCCACAGGAAACACAGTGGGAGCAGCCAATATGGTTCAAGGGGTGGTGGGAGAATGAAGGGGTAGCAGAACTGCTAAATAGGGAACAGGGGTTGAGAAGTCCCTTGTGAGAAACTGATAGAAGATCAAATACCTAGGGAAGAAAGGGTGCGTGTTACCTGCAGCCAAGGGCCAGGAGACTTCTAGAAAGGGACATCTGGTGTAAACACCCTGAGGCAGGAGGAACCTGAGAAAAAGAAAGAGGCCCCTGTGCCTGGAGCAGAAACAGAGAGCAGGACACAAGGAGATGAAGCCAGAGAGGTCCAGGGTGAGCAGAGCAGGAAGAGCCCAGGCCTGCATACTTATTTCTCCTGCGTCTCAAGTGAAGATTCAAAATGATGTATTTCCCTACCTGTTTTCAGTAAACATGTATTTTTTTTCTGTATTTCATACAAGAAGGTGCTTAAAGGCCAAACATGATGGCTCACACCTGTAAGGTAGGCGGAGGTAGGTGGATTGCTTGAGCTCAGGAGCTCCAGACCAGCCTGAGCAAGAGCAAGACCCCATCTCTACTAAAAATAGAAAAACTAGCCATGTGTTGTGGCGGGCACATGTAGTCCCATCTACTCCAGAGGCTGAGGCAAGATGGTCACTGGAGTCTAAGTTTGAAGTTGCTGTGAGCTACAACTCCATGGCATTCT